CCCCCCCCCCCCCCATCATAATCGATAACTAATACCCTATTTCTTTTTAGTTGTCGAAGTGAAGAGTGAAGATCGTGGTAAATTTTTCGATGCTCTTTCGGCTTTATTAGCCTAACAAGGTGTCTTCCTCCGAGCAATGAACTCGTCCTGGCAACAGTAAGGTCAAGGATCTATTATTTATATGTGTGGCCTTCCCAAGGCTCGTCAATAACCATAATTTTAAAATTGTTAAATAACTTGTAAATACACGCATTTAATATTAAGAAAATATATAAATTTAAACTAATTTCAAGGGTATTCACGTTTTAAATATCGATTCCCAGCATTTTAGCTTGGCAAGCCCAGAATGCATCACGATTCAAAATGGCGTCGTATTTGCTAAAATGGTCCATTTAGCACAGTTGAGTAGTCGCGCGTGACACCCACGCAATTCCCACGTTGCGGTTAACTCCCAGTCTCTCGAAAGTTTGTTTACATCGCGCGACCAAATTTTATTTCATCAACAATCGATTTTCTCTGGGCACTTTATGCAAAATTTCCGAAATAAAATTTGATTCTAGATTTCCTCGATAGACAAATAAGGAAGGTGTCGGATTTCAAGGAAGTTTCAAGGTATATTTAGTGTTGTATCTATTGTTGTTTTTATAGCAATGCAAACGAGTGTCGCAGCAGGGTTTGAAATTGTCATTAATCTATTTTGTCATTATGCATATAGTTAATTTCGACCTAGGGTTTTGATTTATATTGTAAAGTAAATACTTTATAAAGTTAGTTATGGATGATATATGGGATAAACTCGACGGATATACAAAGGTGAGTGCTTTGTTTTAGTTAAAATCGGGTAAACTTTCGGCAAAAGTCACTCTGTGAAAATACTGTTGCATTCAAATGCTTGAATTTCGATAGATTGACTCGATTTAACAATTTCTTTATATGGGCCGAACATATGTAATATACCTGATTCAATATAGCATTTATAGCATCGTTTTAGATCATTAGAAGCGATTAAAGACTTCAAAAATATCTGGACGCTTAACTAGCGCTTGTGAGGATATTTAAAAGCTTAAAATAAATTGGCAACTTTTGGTAATTTCGAATTTTATAATTGTAGACATTGTAATCAACTACGGTTTATTAGCATGAGGTTTTGTGGGTTTTAGCAGCGGTTCTGTTGCCTTTTGATCACGCTAAGCGCCCCTGACCTATCTCGGTTAACGTTTTAAACAGAAACCACTTAAATTTTTGCTTGAGCGGTCGAGTAAATCTATATAAACAAGGCATAGTTTTGAATTCGCTTGCGTTTTTGCAACTTTTTATTACGTTGAATGGCGTTTCCGAAAAGTAAACATCTAAATTTGGGCAAAGCTACTACGCTGAAAACCTCGCTAAAACTACGCTGAACCTATATTTGACCTTGTATATTTGACGTTTATAAAACAATCCAACTAAACCAAAAACAAACACTTGCAATTTATCTACAAATAGGTAAAAATGTGAGCTAGTGTATATAATATTTAGAGGGATAATTTATACTTTGTGTATATTATAAAATTTGAGTTCCCGTTGGTTTATACTCGAAAGTGCTAGAATAAGCATGGCATTAGGATTGTATTTTTCTTCATTCAACCGAGTAAATTGAATAGCATAGTGTTTCCGAGGACAAAAGGCAACTTGTCAAGAGTCTTAAAAGAAATTAAATTGATTTATATAATTTTGGCCATTTCCTTTTGTGATGCAAACTCATTAGTAATTCGATCATCCAAGCGCGGATTAATTCTGGTTTTGGGTGACTTAACATGTCTCTCCTAAACATGTGTTTTGTGTATTCAGTGTGTTAAATGTGAATTTTGTTAATAGTTTTGTTAAAAATGTTGGAGTATTTATGTATTTTGTTGTATAGCATTGGAGTTTGCACTGAATGAAATTATATGAAAGGTTACAATTTAAATAATTTACCAATGAATTAACCCTTGCAATTTGGTCTTAACCAATCAGAATACAGAGACTTGTCATGCATTGGGGTGAATGCATTGGGGCATGTATATTTTGACAAGTGATTAATCCATACATAGAGTCTTGCCAGCCTCTCTACCTAATTATCTTTAATGACAAGCTTTCGGCTCTCAGACTATATAGCCAAAAGCTAATCTTCATTAAAAATATTTTTGGTCAGAGAAAGTCTGAATTTTAATACTTGGAAAGTTTAATTAAGGCCCATCTGCATATAGGCCATATGTATTTGAATAAATGCACATAAAGATGCCACATTTCACCATAAACTAATGAACATGAATAGTTGACATCCGCTGTCGTTTTCATATTCCAGAATGACAATCATATACAACTAGTCGTGCCAGTCCAGAAGCAGTTCAAAGGGGCTGCAAAATCCAAGAGAAAGAATATATGTGATGCACATTATATTTAAGATTATACAGTGAACACACATCTACTCACTGTAGCATGAGGGGGTAGGGTTAGGACCTGCTGAATTAAGTTATATTTGCCAAAACTGTAGTCATGATAAATTATTTTTCTCTAGAGTGATTATCTGTACAGCAGTGATGATGAAGGTCATGAAACTTACTTTGAACAAACAGAGCATCTCTACATAAGCACTAAGGTACTCACTGTAGTTTAGGGAAAAAAGTATTGATTCAATCATAGTATATACTTTTACAACTTTTACACTGGAACCCCATTCCACAAAGGATGGAATGTATTAACGGGGTACCTTTATAAGAAAATGTATTGCCTTGGCATTTTTCGGGGACAAAAATAAGTGACTGTAATAAAGAGGTGGCCATATTAACGGAGTGGCCCTAAATTGGGGTTCCACGTACTGTGCATGAATTCTTTGCATAATACTCATATTAATCATTGATCCTCTCTTCTTTCTAGAAATTTCATACAACTGAAGGTAAGCCTGAAAATTATATTATTTTTCATTCCCTGGGAAAGTGTGCCAGTTCTTAGATCTGGCACAATCCTGAGATAGGGCCTATACTTAAATACTTGTTGCCCACCAAGAAATTCCTTGTATTTTGGTTGGCCACGCCACCCATGTGTTAATTACAAAATACTTCTTCATCTATAGCAGTTGATGACGAAAGTTTGTGCAGTGATGATGTAGAGCCACAACAGGAGATAGTTGAAGAAAAACAAGAAATACAAAGAAATATACATGAAAGTTTGCTGGATGAAATGAAAAAAAGTGAACTACACAACAGTAGTGAAACAAGAAATGTCCAAGAAAAAGTTGACAAGATGTCTGCAGAAAAATCTCAACAGAAAGAAGAGCTAAATGAAATGCAACACACGGCACAGGTCTGTGGAGAGAGAATAGGGGGATTAGACTGGGTTTTTTTAAATATAATTTTGCCCCAGTTTGTCTCATCTCCATGTCTGCTGTTCAGCATAACATGTGCACATGAAGGTTATCTCCCCATATTTTGCACACAAACATGTTTCTACTGAATCTTGACCCCAATTGCATACCTACCTGTAACCCTTTTCGGCCTATTGTGCATGAAACATGACAAAATAACAACATGAAAACGAGATGAAGAGACTGGTTTAATATATTTTCTATTCACTAGGTCATCAGCAAGAGTGCTCGAATGTCAGCCACAGATGTTTTATCAACCATTACAAACAGTGAAACAATTGATCATGAGGACAGTGGACGAATGGTAAAACCACGGTCACTATATAGAATGAGAGGAAAACTACTAAACATCCTGGATTATCAATCAGCTCTGTTTTTTCTAACTTATAATAACTTTTTAATCTTACCAATTTTTGTATAGGATGAATATTATGAGAGAATTAGATCAACTGATACTGGTGATGGCCCTTCTGAGCAGGTACACTTAGGGACATAATGTACAAATGTGCTTATAACCCTGTCTATACTATTTACAATATGAGGGGCTGTGTTGTACCAGATACACAAACTCTTGTCGGAATAAATGGCTTGTGAACATCTTGATGAGAACATTCATATTCTTCAACAATTTAAATTAAATGAATGATATTTGGTGAGAAAATTTTACTGTAAAGTTTATGTAAAACAGCATGATTTCTGTATCAGATATACAAACTCCTTCACGCTCATGATTTCTTTTGTGTTTTCGTCATGAATTATTAATGAGTTTCACAAATTTATTTGCAGTCTCCCATATGTGAACTCCATTTATTACATTTGCAGGATGCTCGTGAAAACGAAAGAAAATCATCTCCATCTGATGTGGATTTACCCAGCATTGCGCCAGTAAGTTTAAGTTAAAAGGGGGTGTAGTAGGACACATTGCATCTTGGTTAATGGTTCTCGTCATCATGGAAAAATTTATTTCTTGTGACCAATACCACTATATTTCCGTAGCTGTCGACGCCGCTCAACATAGGAGTTATGAAGAGTAAAGCAAGCGTAGCTCGACAAGGCTCAATGAAGACAAGACGTAAACCTACTACGGTGAAGAGAAAGAGCTGGACGCCAGGAATGGATGAATTTATACGTGAACAGGATGAAATGATTGTGGACGACGCACAAGACAATGAACAAGGGTAAGCTAATTTTACTTTACATCAGAATGCAGTACTTATAGGCGTGGGACAGAAATCAAACCAGGTTGTTGTGTATTTTACATCAGACCAGGTTATTGTGTATTTTGAAAGCACCATCCGATGTGACAACAATTTTGTCTCCTGGGCCGGTTGTTCCAAAGCTGGTTGGCTTAACCCTTGGTTAACCTAAAATCCAAAGCAAACTTCCAAACAGCTTGTTTATATAAATTTGGAAATATTTCTTCAGAAATCTTGTCTGGATCAACAGGAATTTTCTTCTTCTAACTAAAACGGCGAGTTAAATTTTAATCCAGGGTTTAGCTCTAATCCAGGGTTTAGCTCTAATCCAGCTTTGGACAACTGTCACAACTGGGGTCGCTAACCCTTGGTTAAATTTTAACCCGCTGCTTTGGGTACATCTGCAAATATGTTTATTTCAAAACTTTAGAAAATAATACTTCTATTGATCTGGACAATATTTCTGGAAAAATATCTCTCTGTTTATAGACAAACTGAGCAGCACTGCACGTAGTTTGTCTTTCTAACTTTACTGTGAAATCATCTAAATCTAAGAAGCGGTGCTTTAAATGTACAAACTCCGTGCTTCTCTAGGGACACATGGGTTACCACGAAAGCTGAGAATGAAGGTGAACCTCGGACTGGTTTGATCACACCATCGGACTCGAGTTCGGAGGATGAAAAAGAAGTGGTGAAACAACATCTCCGTTCTGGCGTTGCTCTGCCAGGCTTGGGTGATGCGCTGAAAATACAGATGACACGTTCTGAACTCAAGGTAAAGCTGGTGAACTTTTGGAGAAACTAAAATAATAGATAGCTTGTAGATAGCTTCTATACGTTCTGTTAAACTGTTCTCCCCAGCGATCCAGTGAGATCCGTGTCTTTCTCGGTGCCGTTTTACTAGCCATGGCAACTGGTCATGCTATGCTAATACACATACATCTAAATAGGTTAAAGAGTGAAGACAATACATTTTTACTGTCGTTCCAATTGAAGTGCTGCTCAAATATTGATTCAATACATTACCTCGGGCTGACCAATTCATTTGATCAAGTTCCTCGAGATATTCATACACTTCCTGTGAAAGAGCCAATTCCAAGTATTTGATCATTTCTGGTCCCTTTCTATTTATGATTGGTTAGTTGCACAAACAACAAAGGTGATTGGTGCATTCAAACTATTCAACAGGAAGTTTACAATTATACTAGGAAGTGTAGGAATATCTCGAGGAACTTGATGAAATGAATTGGTCATCCCGAGGTAATGTATTGAATCAATATTTGAGCAACACTTCAATTGGAACGACAGTAAAGATTTGAATAATGCAAATCATTAAATATTTTCCTAGGCTTCGCCACTGGATTGGTCGGAGTACCTGGAGAAAACCTGCAGTGCTTGGTAGAGTCCAACTGGAAGCACTATTCTCGCATGTGACTGAGATGAAATTATAGTCAGACAACTGCATATTGCAGAAATTAAACCTCAGTCACAGAGGTGGAAGTCACACAAGAGACTGGCCACACATGTTTTTGTATCTTAATAGTTGCAAGCAGTATAAGTATATCATGCTCCCACTGCCTTTTTTGACAGTCACAAAATATTTCCTTTCCAGCGTCCGACAGCCCTAAGTCTTGCGAAAACCGCCAAAGATGCGAAGGATAACGAAGTGACAAAAGAAGACAAACTCGAGACATCGCCAAGCAAACCTCACTGGATGAAAGAAATGGAGGAACGCAAAAAGAAACAACCCAGAGCTGCTCCTCAGAGAAGACACAAAACCTTGCCTGCACGATGTTCTGAACTCGACACACTTTTCGAACAACGAAAACAAGTACAATCAACTGAAGATCCCACGATCCATGGATCTAGGCCCGCAAGTCGTCCCGGTGAAGATATTGATCCGGAGCTACAAAAAATGTTTGAAAGAAGAAAAAACTTAACACCGTTGGAAGTCGAAGGGGATGGAGGTGCTAAAGAAACTGAAAGACCAACGAGTTTTCACGGCGATCAGATTGATCCTCAATTAAGTAAAATGTTTGAGAAAAGAAAAAATTTAACGCCTTTGGAAGTCGAAGATGGGAGTGTTGATAAAGATATAGAAAGACCTAAAAGTTTTCATGGCGCTCAAATAGATCCTGAACTTAGTAAAGTGTTTGAAAAAAGGAAAAATTTAAAACCGTTGGAAGTCGATGGTAACACCTCCGGCGAAGCCGGTGTTGTAAAAGAAATAGAAAGGCCAAAAAGCTTCCACGGCGATGAGACGGACTCGGAGTTGAATAAGATGTTTGAAAGACGAAAAAATCTCAAACCAGTTGAAGGGAGGGCGACTAATAGAGACAACGACGACGCCGATCAAGTTTTTAAACCAAGAAACGTTCACTTACAAAACAGCCAAGCGACCGAGTTGGATAACGTTTTCGAGAAGCGCAAGCACCTGCGACCTGTGGAAGGAATAAGGTCACCACAAGGTAGGTGTGATGAATCGTCAGCTGTCGGGAGCTCTTCGGCTGATCTTCGTCAGACATCCGGAATTGTTCGTGCAAGATTTCATGATAGCAAACTAGAACCTTTGCCCGGCCGAGGTGAGGTGAAAGTGGCGACTGTTTCCGAGGTGGAGGTGAGAACTGCACGGCAAGTTCACGAGAGCAGACGAAGGATTTCACCTGAGACAAGTGGGGCTCAAGTTGGTAGAGGGCCAACTCATGCGAGTGTTGGTCAGGGTGGGCCCTCCAAACCCCCTCACCCACCCACAAGTGGGGCTCAAGTTGCGGAGTTTGTTTTCGATGGTAGAGGCGCCTCACACGCCACTGTTGGTCGTATACCAGGTCCAAGTGGCAACTCCAAGACACCCTCTCATCCACCTGTACGGGAACAAGGCAACACCAGACAGGACGGCGCACACGTTGCGGCAAACCAGCGTGGGAACTTCAACCCTATTGGTCAACAGCAACGTGTATCACCTGGAGAAAGGCATGTTGGACCAGAAACTACCGGAGCACATGTGGCCCAGTTTGTTTTTGATGGCACCGCTGCTGCATCGCATGCGACCGTGGGTCGAATACCAGCTGGAGGAAATCAAAGACCTGTTCATGGGGATCAGCCCCAAGATCGTGGTACTCGTAAAACGTCGCCGCCAAGAGTCGACAGTTATTCTGATCACGTGATTGCTGCACCTGACGCCCACGTTGTTGATTCGCGTGATGTCAACACGAAGCAAGCAGTAATTTCTCCCACATCATCGAAATACGACACGCGAAATTTCATAGAACAGCTTTCTCGGAAATCAGTTTCTGGAAAAACACAAACTCAGGGTAAGTCTGTATCAAAACCATCAAAATCTCGTCCGGGGGATAACCCTCCGGAACATAGGCCCACCAGCTTAAACATTGAACAGGGAAAGCAGCAAGGGAACAAGGAGTATCACCCACCTCGCAGATCTCATCACGGTGACCTGCAACCTCAGAGGAATAATATACCCCACTCACAATCCCATACCTCCCCACCTGAGAAACCCCCTCGCTGTAACCTCCCACCCATAAATAGCCCACCTTCCCCACCCTCCCAAGGTTCAGACCTTAGATCACTACCCCACTCACTCTCGTACCCTCCAAATTCCCAGTTCTCAAATCACCCACCGTTAAATGCTAGAACGTCTGACCCCCGGCTGCTTTCACATTCCCCACACTCTCCCAAAGCACCCAAGGAAGGTAGGGTTACCTCGCCCCGCACTGTGAGAGTGCGGGAAGTTACAAGTCCTGTGAGGGATGTGGATTCTGAGCCGAGAGACGGAAGGAGAATGAATACTTCTACAAACGTAGGGGATATGAGACATTCTGTGGGAAATACGGCGAGTGAAACTGAGTTTGTAAGAAACAAAACTATGCGGAATAGTGGGGAAATTGAGGGATCCGCTAATGGAGTAAGAAATGATGTGAAACAAGACGGTTTTGCGAGGTTACGGAATGATGAAATGTATGTTAATCGTAATCCCGACTCTAATGGCCAACATGATAAAGGAGCGGGGAAGAGAATGAGAGGTCGAAGTCCTAACAGGTCTGAGCGTCTAAAACTTCAGAAGGTCAAAAGTTCTGATAGATCCGACGATCAAATCCTTCATAAGGTTCGAAGCCCTGAAAGATATGACAACCAAAGGAACAGGAGAGATCGAAATTCTCAAAGTGATCAAAAGATACTTCAAAGTTTTGATACGTCTGGTTATGAGAAGATAAATAGGTTACGAAGTCCGGAAAGATCAGGCAATCAAGAGATTAAGGGGAGTAAGAATCGTGACCAATCAACTGATGAAAGGAGAGTTAAAAGTCCTGAAAGATCAGACGGTCGAAGAATGACGAGGTCTGATAATCCTGACAAATCAAGCTTGAATAGTAGGCTTCAAAGCTCTGAAGGCGATCCAAGGCTTAACAGGGTCCGAAGTCCTGAACGAATGCGTGATCAGAGAATCAATAGAGTCCGAAGTCCTGACAGATCAGGCGATCAAATGATTGGTAAGCTTCAACATCCTCAGAGATCAAATGGCGAAAGGAAAAGTAGGCTTGCAAATGCGGAGAGACCCAATGCTCAAAGGGATGACCGTGCTTTAAGGGTTCGAGACTCGCGTTCCCCTTATAGAAATTCCCCTGTGGGACACGATATTTTAAATAAAAGAAACGGCGATAACGGTTACTATAACAATAAACCAAACATTTCGCATGCAATTCCTAATGGGGTACAGAATGACAAGAACTTTGAGAACCGGACGAGGGGAATGAAAACCCCTGTCACACAAAGGAGTAATATTTTAAGTCGTGAAAGTGTTGAACGTCCTAAACCGGTAACTGTGACTGTATTGTCTGTGTCTGAGAGTCCTGTGTGTGTCAAGTCTCCTGTGATTGGGCGAGCGCTGTCACATGACAGGGATAATATGGCGTATGGTGAGTGTATGGTTAATGGTAAAGTGAATGGTGATGTCGGGAGGCGGGGAGTTAGAGCTGAGAGAGCAAGCAGGTTTGGTAAGTTATCGAGTAATAATGTTCATCACGACATCCCACTCTATTCTATCATTACTTTGTGTACTTTTACCAAACCAACACCGCTATAGCATCCTTCCAAACATAATCCATCACTTTCTCCTTTGCCCTGGTTCCCATCTCGCAAACTCGTCATGTTCCGTTTTCTTCATGTGCCCATACCATGTATTCAAACTCGTGCCCAGGGTCTTCTTGGTATGACCGTGGGCACGAGGTTGACCATCTATTTTCTCGTATCTCCCAGTTTCACTACCTTCCATTTCTTCCTATATGTTTTGGCTTCTCATTCTTACACTACCAGAGTTTCTGTGATCACAGTAGAAATTTTGCACAGGTAAATTCTAAGTTTTGAAGGATTTGTAAGAAATGTTTGAGGGAACTGACTCGGTGTCAAACATTGAGACAGTTCCCTCAAACATTTCTTACAAATCCTTCAAAACTTAGAATTTACCTAGATGCAAAATTCCTACTGTGATCACAGAAACTTTGATAGTGTAAACCAGGCTTTCGCCTTTTGTCTGGGTTTTAAACACAGGACGAGCTTTTTGAGCGAATGTGTCCTGACTATAGATGATAAAGGCATTAATAAGTACTTGTTTATGTTATGTGTTAATATCATCACGTTGCCCATCCATTTACCAAATTGTGAAATGTGTTCTGAATCTGTTTTTACCTGAAGATGTCCAAAGCTCTGAGTCACCCGCCGTACCAAAATGGAAACAGGAATTACGAGAGAAGAAACGTTTACAGAAAGAAAGACAGGGAGAAAGACAGAAAGATAACATTCAACCTCAACAGTCAGGGGTAAGATTGGACGGTATTAAACCGTTTTTTCGCTAGAGGAACCGTAAGGAACGACCCTAAGACCCTTACTGGACCTCTATGGAGAACAGTTTAGAACTGATAGAGCCATCCAGTATAAATAACGTTAGGTTTAGTTTAGGTTTCCTCCTGTAGTAACACTGGATCAATGGGAGATGATCCTTACTGGACCTCTAGGGGGAATAGTTTAGAACTGATAGAGCTATCCAGTAGAAATAAAGTTAGTTTAGTTAGGTTTCCTCCTGTAGAAACACTAGAGTGATAAAGGATAAAATGTATTGGACATCTAGGAAGTCCTGACAGAACTATCCAGTATAAATAAAGGTATAGTGTAGAGGTTAAGGCAAGCATGTTTGGCACTCTTCACATCACAATGTGTGTTGTTTAGAATGACATGGCTGAATGGCAGAAAAGACTGAAGGGAATTAGGAAGACGTGGGGAACTGAAGAGAGTGAAGATACCACTGGAAGTGACGATGGTCAAACAACATCACAGGGTGATCATGTGACTAGATCAGATGAAGATGAACAAAATGTTCCAGGATTTTTAAAAGAATTTCATCAGAAAAAGAACAAGCAAAATGTCAAAGGTATCATTACAAGTATTTTTTATTAATTGATTAATGTCGTGATGAAATTTATTTTTTGATCTTAATTAAGCTGCAATTTATTTATTTCAGATGATAAGCAAGACACGGAAACACTTGTCTAACATTCACGTTCCTAAAAATCAAACCAACAGAAAATATTTTTATACAATTGTGTAAAATCAGTGTATGTAAGACAAACGTTATGCTTACATCATATAATATTTATTCTCTATATTGACCTGGCAAAAAAGCCATAATATATAACAAGGTATATTATATATTTGTACAACATATTTTATACGACATGCTCGATGTTTGTAGTATGGATTTTTAATGAAAGGTTTTATTAAAACCAATTTTGATGTGTTAATTTGATTGCTGAATATGTTATAATTGCTTGTCTTGTTATAATGCTCTGCTTGCGCAACTTTAAAATAGACTGAATCCTGACAGTGTGAAAATTTATTTACATCAGATATATTTTACAGAATATTTTCTTAATTTCTTCATATTATTCCAGATTACAAATGTCTATAACACAACTTGCACACAAAAAGAATTTCTTGAAGTTTAAATGTGTACGAATTCTTAAAATGCTAACTACTATGATCACATCTTGTGCATTCCAATGTTATATTCCAAATTTTAATTGCATTCAAAATCTATTACGAAATGTCTATCGGAAGCTTGGCAGACTTTCGAATGTGTATCCTCTCCAACCCTTTGTTGCTCTGTAGATATACACCGTGTGATAAGCTATTGAAGAAAAATTTCATGTTTAATATATAGAAAAGTTATGCATGTTGCTGAAATGTTTAGAATGTAAAACATGTGGAACATATACCTCCAGGAAGAATACAGACTGCTGCACACACAAAAAATATTATAGCTTTTGGACCTATAGAAAATGATAAAATATCATCTTCAGTTGTCATTAAGCCATCATCTATCATTAACCATCTGTCATCAGACAGAGTAAAATAAGAAAGTGGTGTGCATTTAGGGTGTAATGCAACTATTGTAACGGGTTAAATCAAGTGACAAGAAGCAAGCCAAACTGTGTTTAAACTCTTCTCCCTATAGTTCCATTTAACCCATCCAGTGTTACTACAGGAGCTCAGCTACAGGTGAAAAATTGGAATATGTGGTGAAACCTTGGTAGAGTCAAACTGGAAGCATTCTTTTCACATGTGACTGAAGTTAAATTATAAGCAGACAACTGTATATTGTGGGAATCCAACCATAGCAGTGGAGGGCAAATGTACTGCCACACTGCAAAAATATGGTAATCATACCATTATGTTCTGGTATTGAAGCCAACACAATTCCACATATCAAGAATACTAAATAAAACGAACAAAGAAAACTGATATTAATGTGTTCAACCAAAAAATGATTCAATGCTGTTTTTTTGACATACATATTCCGACAATTAGCAAAAAGATGGCGCCCGCCACAGTCTTCCAATTCTCGCGAACTTTAGGATGTCGTAACCACCTAGAAAATGAAAGATTATGGAAAGATTTAGGAAGAGAGAACACGATTTATGAAGTGAAGAACATGGTGGTGGTAGGATGGTACCCTCTCTATACTCACATGTGTGAAGTTGAATGCCTTGTTTTTAGTGAGGAGTTTATGTTAATGAGGTCATCTTCATAACTGTCATCATCATTGTGTATTCTGAAGAAATTCCCAATGTTAGATTTCAATTTAATATCTTAGGCCAGAATCAAACTTTTCATGTGCCAAACCTAATGTTAATTTAATGGGCTAAGTTCTTTGTTTCACTTCATTTGCATTAGGTTCGGCGCATGAAAAGTTCGATGTTTGACCGTGGCCTTAAACATTTTTAGTGAAAGCTAAATACAAATATCAAATGTCTGTTATACAGAAGTGTCTGTAGGCTAGGAGAAGTACGTTCTACTGCAATCAGGGAGGTCCAATCAAAATTGATTAGATGTCCATATCGGTGAAACATACTTTAACTGATTTTTTCCTTTGGATCCTTTGTGTCCACATTTCTATATTTTTGGAAGACATAATGATGTAAGTGGTTAGTAGAGTTAGCAGCTAATATACACCATTCAGAAAGTACATCACTTTGGCTACAGAGCCTCATTTCTATGTGGGCGACATCAGCTGAACTGAAATGTTGCTATCATGAAAATGAGGCTCTCATACCAACATGACATACTTTCTGGAAGGGTGTAATGAATTGGGGGGGGGGGAGGACATTTTTTCTGCCATGCATGCATTTTTTTATGGTATGCTTGATTTTTTTTTGTGTTGTGATATTTTTTCAGAAAATTTTGCCTGAATGGACCCCTTGCTCAACCCCCCCTTCATTTTCTAATGTTGCGCCCTTAAAATAAATTATATAATCCACTTTGATCAAATGCTATTTAATTGACATTATACTCTTTATACAATACAATGTTTGAGCACAACGATAATAAATCACCTGATACGAAGCATGAACCTCGCCACTAACACCAATATCTCCTGTTTCACTCAATTTATCTTCATCAGAACTGTTTGCGGCCGCATCGGGTCCACCAGAGGCAGTGTTGTCGAGGACTCGAGCACTTTCGCCGCTTGTTTCGCCAAGATCGCCGTAAGGTACGTTACTCATCGCACAAATATATCTCTACGACTGAAACCCATCGACTTTTATCCCCATGTAAGAAATTTCAAGCTTAGAGGAAACTTTTGAGCATAAATATTGGAGATGATAAGCACTTGCACGAAATAATTTGTTTTGTTTATATTTTTATGTCGTGTTCGGAAATTGTCGGAAAGGTGTCGAGATGTGTCGTGTTAGTGTCACAATTACAAGTGTTTATAATTTTTACAAGTTTGTTTTTGTTGGGGTATGCTGTATATTTAAAACAGGATGGGTATCTTGAATGCAAATGGCTACAGAAAAAACATCTGAAGGTATAAGGGGTGTGGGGTAAGACCTGAAGGGAGGGGGGGGGGCCTGAACCATGGGGCCATGGAGGGAATTTCCCCCACTGCTGCACCCTTTGTTAATATATGTGGGCCAGCTAATGGCAAACTAGCTCCCTTTTTCTAAAGACGTATTGTTTAATCAAACCGACATCTGCACAAAAATCATATTAGAAAACATAGAAAATGCTAAATATGATTTTGAAAGTACAAGATTAGCTCTCGGCATCTTTGAATATGTGCAGTCTTGTGATAGTGTTTGTATGTTATTGTACAAGTATGTATTGTATCCAAATGTCGGAGTGAGTGCATGCTACTATTTTCACGCCAGTGTCCTGCCGTGCTGTCACACTGTGATGGATCACACTGCTGTTGAGCTCCCCGATATACAAGTGTAATTTATTCACAGTATATATACCACACTAGGAGCTCAAGGATCCAGCAAAGTAAATAAGAATGTGATTAAATCAAAGAGAAGAAGGCAAGAACAAAGCATTTCATTCTTGTTTTATATGTAATCCTGGTGTGAAATTAATTTTCACTGGGGACAAAATTCACATTTTTGAAGGTTTCAAGATGATGATGATGGAGAATCATCTCAAGTTGACAATACGTTGAAGAAGGATCTTGCTAAGACGTTATCTGACTACCTTGACAGGTTGTAAGATTTGTGCAAATAATACTTCTTCTGTGCTACAGTGGAAAACTAACCAACTCTAGACTCTAGTTCTGTAGAAAACTCTGATGGCATTTATCTTGAATTTAGAACTATTGAGGATGTGGATGTATGTGATAAAGGTGTGTAAATTAAGCCACAGGAGCAACAATTCCAGAATTCTAACTAGAACTAAATGCAAAATACTCAGACAGAATGATTTGGTCGATTTTTACAGAAGACAAGAAAAGTAACGTGAAGAAAAGAGAAGAACAAGTAGACGGTACTGTTTCCTTTGCTTACAACTACAACTGATGTACTATGGTAAAACAGTGTTATGTTTGCCCTGATTGTAGTTGTTTAAATTATTGTCACTTTATTCAGGTTTTCAGTTGTTCTCAAGCAGCCAGCAAATGGCTTTAGAAACTTTCCCTGAAGAAAAACAAAGATGCGATGAAGAAGATGCAAAAGCTAGGTTAGTAGCGAGTGTCTACCTCGCAACAGATGATGAAGGACTTTGCACCAAAGTTGTTTTAATCTGTTTATTTTATCCTTTTTACATGTAAGTTTGAGCAGTGATGATGATGATGAGACTACAGCAAGATTCAAAGAGGCGGCCATCTCTGTACAAGATCTTTTTGGACCTAAATTTAACCATGACACCAAAACTGTGTGACACCTTAAGCGCATAAACTGATGAAGTAAAATAATATTACTGTAAATAGAAATAATAGTTTAGAAATTCAAAAATACATTGTTCAGAATTTGAGCAGAAAGATCCGTTAAGTCTCGTTTTCGTGATGGGGACATTTTAAACTAATACACATATACGAAAACGAGGCTCTTTCTATTCCAGTGACTGTTCACGCGTAGCTGCAAACGACGGCTAGGGACATAAAAAATAGATATACATGAAGTATTTTGGTGACGCGCTAAGTTTAAAAGGAAATATCTCGTGTCAATATTCTGTAATTTCTTGCAAAATTTTGTGTGTTTTTTAAAAATATATAAAAGCAAAACAACTTTAATATTTTATGAAAACGTGGTGTAATGTTTGGGCTGTTATAATAATCAATTTGAAGCAGAAATTATACTTATGACACGTATGGAAATATTAAACAAAGATGGCGTTTGTATATTGTGATGTTTTCTTTGTTAAATTGTGTGCCTCGGAGGTTAAATAGGCTACCTCTGCGCTGTAAGGTGAGGGAATAACATGAAATATTATTATTATTTGTTAGCTACAACAGTCAGATGCCTCCATGACGGAAAATACGTCTTGAAGATAGAAAAACGTAGACAGGAAACTCTCTCTTGTCTATTTAAAGGGTTGGTTTCTAGACGCCGTCCTTTCATGAGCCGAACTTTTCATGAGCACACGTAGCAGCTGTTTATATGAATACCGGCCTGGCCCACTTAACGAGACAGCCCAGTAACTGAGATCTCGATATGTAGTTATTTTTTATAGTAAAACTCGTTCAATTGTTCGTTTATATGGACAGCCAGGCAATAAACCTTTCTGGTAATTACGTTACAACTACACTGTTTTCAACTTAGGACCACCTTAAATGGAATAGATTTCAAGTTTGTTTCTCACAGGCTATGGTTAGAGAAGCAGAATATCCTTTCAACACATGTATAAAAATGAATTTTGGATTTTGACTATTAAACGTGGAAATAAGCTTAAACACGAAAACGAGGCTGAGGGGCCATAGCCCCATGTTTTTCATGTAACAATCTCAGAGCAGAACCTTTTCCTCTGAGAAAAAAAAGCCAACTTACCCAGCATAACAATACTGCAAATCCCTGTGTTCTTGATGCTCCTGAGATAAACATTACAACAAGAATACAAAAGAAAGTTTTACCTTTGGGACTTGTAAAGACAAAGCGGAATTTTCTTTTCAAATTCAATTTGTGCTTTATTTTAATCTAAGCTTGTGCTTTTGTTGCAGTCTTAATAAGGTCGCAAGGTTCGCTGCTTTGTTTGTTTTGCCTTTTCTTGTTGTTTATCTCACAGCAGGCATGAACTACGCAAGTAACCAAAATTAAAGACACATTGCAAGTTGAATTTTCGGTACCTCATTGATAATCTTGTTGGAAAATCTTTCAATTCTCCAATCACATTTGTATTTCTGAGAGGGGTTTTGTACACTTGACGGGATATTGATGCCCTTAAATGCTTAATTACCATGCCATTACCAATGGAAACGACGCTATATAGGAAGAGGGGTCTTGACCTTATACAATAGGTCTCAAGTTTTCGTTGATCATATAAGGTTGGACTTCCTTGCACGGTGTCAGAACACTCCATATCTATTCTAGCCTTCGTCTCTTTACGCCGCTACACAGATGTCTCATTCCAAAGCGACGTGGGGATACTCCAAAGAAGACGGTAAGTTTTGTTGTGGTTATTGTATTTTTGTAATTAACACCTTATTGTCGCTTTTAATGTGTTATAACTTATGCCAATAAAGGGAAAAGTATAATGTTGACTTTCTAGAATATGATGTACTTTTTGAACACCGGGAATTTACGATGTTTACGATAGTTTATAACGGTCTGTGCAGCAAGTGTATGTAGATTGAAAATAGCGAACTTAAGCAAGGCTTATCTACCACGGGGGCTTGAAAAGAACAGCCTTAAATTTTACACCTTCAAAAAACTATAAGTATAAACTACCGATATTGCAGGTGACCGGCTAGAAGGACGCAAATGCATCGACGACGGCAATTATTATAATGACAATCATAATATAATAGTAGAAACGAAATGATTAAATTATTAAAATCTCATATTAAAATTCTTAAAAGTATGAGATGTCCGACAATCTTGAAATGTCTGTGCCAGTGTAGTTAGTGCCAATATATGAACAAACTTTCGTTCGTAGGGATGCAACTCAATATAAGGCCCTTCGTATTAGCTATAGTATAAGCTCCAGTAACTCCAGACGAAGAGTCTTCGCTCGAAACGTCGAAATTCTTCGAATATTTTTCAGGTAGGCATCGCTACCAACGAAAGCTTGTTCATTAGATGTTCGATGTCGTTCTCGTCCCGTTCACAACGGCAAATCGCAGATTATCACGTCTTGTGAGTTGTGTACAACGCTACATCCCAAGCTGGGAGAATGCCGTCCTATATTAGAGTTAAGCCTTAAGGTCCCTATAATAACAGCAGAAAGCTCAGCTGATTGAGAGACATTCATTCAACCACCTGAAAAGCACAAGTAAAACTTGGCAGGGCGTTTATATATCAATTAACGCCCTGTCCGGAAGTTAGTAGCGAAGCGCCTTCGTCTGAGTACTCGCTATTGACAGTACTGTAACGAAGAGCCTTCACTGAAAACATCGAGGTTTTAAAAAATCTTTTCCTGGTACTTCAGGCACAAACCACGGCAGTTTATTCGGTAAAATACTGCCTACACTGGACCACCACGTTTGAGATGTCCGTTTTTCGGGTAGACGGGGTAGTTCAAACACAAACCACGACAGCTTAAATTAATGCAAAATGACTACCTATACACTGAACTGCACGAAGGCTGTCTGAAACCCTACCTTTGACTTTCAGCTTAATTGACGACGGGAGTTTAGTTCATAAAAGTCTGCAATACTTTATTCTAATATTAAATATAGATTTGCAGATTATTATGAATTAATATTACGAATTTAACTCGAGAGGGGAACTCGATAAGACAGTATTTCTAACGAATTTTTATCTGATAAATATTTTTAGTAGGCTATATGTTTCATGACACAACTTTCTCATATTTACTTGGCCAGATCACAGTTAATAAAATAGGACTGTGGCCAGATCAAGTTATTTTTCTTAGACTCAAAATGTTCAAATGAATAAATGCTTTGCGGGAGCAAGATGTATGACAGCTGGAAGAATAATTTCCGACAAACGACAAATTTGCATATTACATGTAGTATCTTTTGAGAAAACGTCGATGACTCAAGTTCATCTGTTCTTAACACAACTTTATTGCAACAGTAATGTTTAAAGCAAAATTTGTGCGCAAACAGGAAATAAGAACATTATAAGAAAAGAGGAACTTTATAGTATTTTGCTGAACAAGATGGAATATACAGACGTGAGGGGAGCTTTGTAGGCTGGTCTGTGCGGGTCAACAAAGTCCTCACTTTGTCAGTCAAGATAGACAGATGATGTTTGATGAATATTAATTTGTCTGCATAATTGCGTCACCCATTGACCTTTCTATCCATAGCTACAGTAGTATAGTATTTCCATTGCTATAGTAGTAAATTAGGTAACCTACCTCTGTATGATCTAACCCTGCTTATTAACTCAGCAGTGAGTTCTGTAGTGTAGCCCACATTCAAGAACATGTACTACTTCTGTATTATCTAACCATGCTTATCTCAGCAGTGAGTTCTGTACAACATCAGACCATTTTAAGGTAGCCCACATTCGAGAACATGTACTACCTCTGCATGATCTACACGGCAAAAAACGCCGAGCCCGCTGCTCAACCGGATTGAACAATGTTTTGCTGCCCACGTTGTTCACACTTGTCAACAATATTGAACAATATTGTTGAGCCTGAATCGGGTGTAACAATATTGTTCAATATTGTTGACAACTGTGAACAATGTGGGCAGCAAAGCATTGTTCAATCCTGTTTTCATCAGTATTGCATCAACCTGAGCGTTTTTACGCGTGTAACCATGCTTATCTCAGCAGTGAGTTCTGTACAACATCAGATCACTTTAAGGTAGCTGACATTCAAAAACATGTATACTACCTCTGCATGATGTAACCATGCTTAACTCAGCAGTGAGTTCTGTACAACATCAGATCACTTTAAGGTAGCTCACATTCAAGAACATGTACTACCTCTGCATGATCTAACCATGTTTCACTCAGCAGTGAGTTCTGTACAACATCAGAACACTTTAAGATAGCGTAGCGCTATAGGGCTAGCTAGCCCTCATACAAGAACACGTACTTCCTCTGTATGATCTAATCATGTTTAACTCAGCAGTGAGTTTTGTACAACCTCGGACCACATGCATGAGGGTAGCTCACATTTGGGAACATGTACTACTCTGCAGTATGATCGCGCTCATTGAACTGAAGACATTTACTGAATTTAGGTCCAGCGACATGGGCAAAGCTACTGGATATCAAAGTGGGCAAGAAACAATCTCCTATTGACATTGTTCGGGCGAGCGCCGTATTTGATGAATCTTTGAAGAGTCTGAAATTTTCATACCCAGGTTTTGAGAATGCGAAATTGGAGAACAATGGTCACACTGTTCAGTTTTCTCCCACTGGAGAAAATACCTCAGGTATGCTCTTAAATCAACTCATTAGTAATAAACGGCCTATGACTCGTATTACATAAAGACATCCTGTTTTTCTGTAGAGGCGAGCTGTGGTCCAGTTACCAACAAGTATAAACTAGCTCAGTTTCATTTCCACTGGGGAGAAAATAATGATGTCGGATCTGAACATACAGTAGATGGTAAACCTTATTCAGGAGAGGTGAGCTATCAATATGAAAGTGATGCATATAGAATTAGGGTCTTAATAGGATCTATTGTGTAGTGATGTTATTTCCCCTTTTTTTTAAAGGAGATGAAATTTTACTATTTAATATCAGAGAAAACGTTAGTACTCTTAAGCTGTCAAATTTGACATTTTAGCATTAAAATACTTCAATTTAGTGTGTAGAGCCAAAAATCTTCATTGATTGCGAGCAAGAACTGCTGACGCCATCAATGGCTCTCAATTCGCAGCTTTCTTGTTACGATCGGAAGGAAGCAACTTGAAGTCGTAGGGGCACTTCATCTTAAGAGCACTTCTTCTGTTAGGAATGGACACTAGCTTTTCTCATTGTCTAGGTTTAGGAAAAGGGCACGTTGAAGAAAGCTTGCGAGGGGGGGGGGCGTGACCCCTACCTACGCCACCTCTGGTTTTCTCTACCACAGAATAAAGACACAGAAGGACGACTCAGCCAAAAAAGCGTAACCGCTGCCACGCCGTGATTTGCAATGATTCGTCATCAAAATGCTGACGCCATGGTCCTAGCCAGTGCATTTATGAGAGGCATTCACCCCCCCGGACGTCCACCATTTTAAATATTATCAGGGGGTGAATGCCTCTCACAAGCGCACGAGTTACGGTTACGCCAAAATCATAGGGAAAACCAAGAAGTCGATCTTCTGTTTGTCTCTATTCTGTGCCTCTACACTGGTGATACACATTCTTGAGTTTTATTATTTCTGCATTTATTGTACAGTTGCATCTTGTTCACTACAATACGGACCTGTATAGCAGTGCTGCGGAAGCACTGACACAGAAAGATGGCTTGATGGTATTTGGAATTTTCCTGAAGGTACGAGTAAATCACTTGCATGTCCAGATCCCTCAATTTCATATTCGTTTTCATGTTTAACTCTCGTCTTTTTGAACATTTGGACAAGGCAAATTTAGGATCCGAGTATAACATTCAGGGGTGGAAAAAATAATTTTCTTCCTGCGAGCACAGTAAGAAGATTATAAATTTCCTGCAGACCTGCAGTGTGTAGATTATAACCATGTCAAATATAGCGCTATAAATTGTAGCTACCTGTATAATGCACACGTGATTGGTGATTATGGTTTTAACTAAGGAATGATCATTCTTTGCACTTTTTGCATATCTAACAACAAGTGCCGCATACAAGTCGGCAATAGTTGTTTTATTTTGTGGGCAGGCTCACAGCAAACGCATGTTATCACTTATCATTTATCCAGAAAAAGTTACATAATTATTGAAATAGACTAAAAAGAGTAATATTTTTGTGGTGTATATAGAATCTATTTACAAAGTCGAAGTGAACTACTGTA